CCCCAGATGTTACATATACCGTGACTTTTTAATTACAGTTCGGACATGCACATTAATGCATACATACCCAGCGAAAGGAACCCTTAACGGAACTATTCTCTCTGAAAGATATTTCTTACTATCAATGTAATATAGCATAGCTAGTTCGGTACTTGTCTGTTCAAGCAACTATGACCCCTACGCCTGGTTTCCACGCATACCCCGGTTTTATATTATTGAGCGGGTATTCGGAAACACTCCGGACTATCTGGTCTGGAGGCCGAAGAGAAAAGGCCCGCCATGACAAATGTTTTACAATCCGACTAGGGACAAACTTCCTCTTCTGTACCACCCAACAGGTTATATAGCTTACAATCATGTTGGGAATACTTGGCCGCTAATTCTACCTGGTCATATACCAGACTAGCTGGAATTTCTTTCCCATCTGACCCTACAGGTCTGACCCAGGCCATATAATTCAGATCGAGCTTGGTATACTGTGTTTTCACCATGGCTCAAGCTTCCCTCGCACCCCCTCAACAGGCCGATATCTTCCATAGTCGGACGCGCCACCGCGCTCCCTTGAATAGTTGTACAAGCTCCTCTTTACTTCCAGGTAGGGAGGCAGATGGCCACAAAGCCTTGGCGACACTCCGCATTGCCTGCCGAATTTTCTCATGCACTTGCGATAGCTCTTGAAGCTGATCGCCTGAGGATCCGGGCATCTCCTCTTCAGGACGGCCAATCAACATACCTACAGACATAACTCTGTTAGTTACCTTCTTCACCGAACTATATAAAGGTTCGTTATAGCACATACTAAAAATGCAGCGTTGAAGCCTTTTATTTTCCTTCACGGAGTCAGCCACCTGGGCCCGAACATCTTTCAATTCTTCGCCCAACCGGGTATTAGCATCTTGGAGATCGTTTTTCTCCTACCTGGCCTGTGTAAGTATACGCTCGCCAGCGTCCAGTTGTCTTTGAGCTCTTTGTTCATCCTCTCGTAGGATTTCCGGATTCGCTCCTGGATTATCTGCGGAGTCTGTCATCAGATCTGCAACCATGTTAACACCACTGGTAATTGTGATTATGTTTTTTCTCGATAGAGGGACACATTACCAGTTGAGGCCTTCTTGGATTCCTCTAGTTCGGCAGTTTTGGCCCTTAGCTGGGTTTGACATTTCTCCAGCTCTTGAGACAACAGGTTATTCTTCTCTAAGAGAACCTATTCATACAATGATCCTTAAATCAATTGTACAAACTGTTTCAAGTCTCAGGGGCTACTGATATACATAATTATCAGACTTTACTTACCCGTATATCTTTCAAATACTGGTTTGTGGCTCTAGCAAGCCCATCTCGAGCGGCTCGGATGTATGCATCACCCGAGTTGAAGGCGCTAAAAGCCTCTTCTAAAAAACCAGGGTCGCGGAGTGCGGCCCGTCGGCGCCGATAATTCATGGCGCTCTCCACTTCAAAATTTGTAGCGGATATTCTATCTGAATCCTCTGTATGAGGATAGTCCGGTGTCGCTTCCGTGTTAGCCTCCGTCCTCGAGGCCGGGTCCGGAATCCAGCTAGTAGAGGCATGACCGACAGGATCCCCATACATAGTCTGTCAGATGTTCTTTCTGCTAAGACACAACGGATAGTGTCATACTTTAAGATGACAACCACGGAGCATGTTTAAAACCATACATCTTTGATGACAGCTCGGCCATGTTTCTGCTTGCCTTTCTTTTTGAAGGCCTACCCGGCATGGGCACCCCTTATTGACGAGTCGCCCTCGGGTTCGGCATGGCGCGCCGATCGTCTTCCCTTTAGAGCATAACAATTGTGATGTGGGTAAGGCGGAAAGAGTAAATCCTTTTCGACAAATAAGTCTCCTGTTTACTTACATGTGATGCAGGGAGGAGGCCGGGATAGTCAGCAATGATGGCCAATTCTATGTCGTCATAGCTCGCCTGGTAAAACACCCCTTCCCCGAGCTCCACGAATATATACGAATCCTCTTTGAATCCGGGGTCAAGGGCCCAGTTATGGTCCTCTGGCTGTGGTGCCGGGCTGTGGATCTCGCTGGTTATTTTCTGCCATTCATGTTATGAATGGACGGATTGAGAGTTTATGAAAAACGACTCAGGGAATGAATAGAGTTGAGTGATGGATAGAAACTCATCCAGCTGGGAAGGTTGTACATGGAAAATCCGTCTCGTGGCTTAATGCGGATGAACTCCTCTTTTTCTCCTTTGTATAAATCAGACAGAATTTTCACCAAAGCGGTAGTGGAGTCCGGACCCTTCCGACCGCAGCGGGTGGCGTTGTCTTCTCCATTGAAGTGTCACATGGGACGCCCTTGATACTGGAGTGGCTAAACCCCTCGCAATATGCATATTGCCATTACTTCGACTATTTGATAGTCCAGACAGAGAAAGCGTTCTTATCTTGCTCATCAATTGAAGGACCTCCTTGCTATCTTCCTCTCTGAGGCTCCGGGGACGCCAATTGAGGCGTTTCTTCAACGGAGCGCTTGTAAACTCAGGAAGACCCATTCGGATTGGGTCAGGAAGGGAGACGTCCTCAATATAAAACCACTCGAAAGGCCATTCTTCTGATGCCTTCTTCGGTGTATCGGATAGGAATCCGGTCCCGGCGATGCGCCATATCTCGGCTCCGCCTACTTGGAATATTGATCACTATTGATTACGAGGGACGAGGCAAAACAACTTCTTTCATAGCTCAAAATGGGCTTCACAACCCAGAAATAGCTCAAAAAAAGTAACGTAACCTGCGATATGCAGGATGGAGGCAGGTGTGAAGTTGTGTAGCTGGAGGCCGTAGTACTCCAGAAGCCCGCAGAGGAAAGGGTGGATTGGAAATCCGACACCCCTCAGTAAGTAGGAGAAAAGGCATACTCGCCCCCCTGGATGGGTTGGAAAAATTCTCCGCTTGCTCCCCGCCGTCGAAGGAGGCCAATCCGGCTCAAACGGGGACTAGATATGCAGGGGGTAGAAACCCCTGGGTCTGCAACTTCACCAGTTGACCGTGGGACACGGTATACTTCTCCCAATCGCCCGGCTTGGTGCTGTGAGGGCGGGAGGAAGAGCTGCGAGCGTTGGCCATGTTGGAGTGGTTTTTGCGAGCACGCTCCAAGGATTCCTCGCTTAAGGGAGAAGGTGTGGATTGGATCTGAAGATCCTCGTCTCTTTAAATAGACGATTTACTTATATGGTTTGGCTGGCAAGTATAAAAATGCCCCGACTTCTCATATTCGCTCGACACGTGGAGGCTGAGACTATTAAGGTACAGAAGCCGATGAAGCGTAACATTAAATGAGGAGCCGGACACTGCTCTTTACTACAGGTACTTTGAAGAGTTCGGAGAAGGAACCCGCCTTGCAATGCCGAAGACAATCTGCGCGCCGGACTCATCGTCATTGAAGCCTGGTTCGGGGGCTACTGAGGGAGTCCTGGATTATGGGGTCCTCGGACAGTCGGACTATATACATTGGTCGGACTGTTGGCCTATGAAGATACAAGATAGAAGACTTCGTCCCGTATCCGGATGGGACTCTACTGCGTGGAAGACAAGCTTGACGATTTGGATATGTAAATTCTCTTCTCTGTAACCGACCTTGTGTAACTCTAGCCTCCTCTGGTGTTTATATAAACCCGAGGGTTTAGTCCTTAGGACAACAACAATCAGAATCATAGGCTAGCTTCTAGGGTTAGCCTCTACGATCTCGTGGTAGATCAACGTTTGTAATACTCATATCATCAAGATCAATCAAGCAGGAAGTAGGGTATTACCTCCATCGAGAGGGCCTGAACCTGGGTAAATATTATATCCCCGCTTCCTGTTATCATTAACTTTAGACGCACGGTTCATATACGGCAAGGTGTAGTCCGGAAATAGTTAGTCGTACCACGGTGCTGAGTGGTCGGGACGGTGGCACAGGACAAGGCGGGAGGGATTTGATGAAACTCGTGCATGATGGATGTGACGGTCAGCTCGGACGTACAGACCGAATTGAGGAGTCCGTTTGAGTCACGATTTTGTGACTGATCACGTACCCTGTCCGCACGACATATAGTGGACGTTCGAGGAGACGGGTTTGAGAAGCTCGGCTCCGCGACAACGCACATGGTATTTTTGCCAAGCTGACCGGCGTCCTAGGTCTTTCTGAATGAGGGGCGGCTTGGCGGGGCAAGTGGAAAAGGCAGCGAAGAGGGCATCCGCACCGCACCGACTCATCATCGAACGCATTATGCGGGTGCAGTGCAGTAGAGTGCGCACCGTGGATCGGAGCTGTCGCGGCCGGCGGTGCCCCCCGCCACCTGCACACACAGCACAGACGCACCACTTGCCACCGCTCAAGTCAAGCTTGTCCCCTGCCGGCAGCGGGCAGAGTTTGGCACGCCCTGGACCCGACAGCACGTGGCTTTCTCGTGCGAGTTCTCATACGTGCTCGCCAAGGCCAATGGTGACTTGTGTGTGGTTCGGTTAGGTTAAGCGGTTAGTAGTACTGCTGTGCTGACGTTACCGTCTCGCTTTTCCCTTGCAGCTTTGCAACCGCCGCCACGAAATTCATAGCGTTTCAGGTACCCAAAGGGAACTCTTCTTGCGGTTCGGTTCACCTAAGCTGGCGACTTTGGGGTCACACAATCTGTGATCTCTTTCTTGGCAACCCAAGCATATTCTGTGCGCGATCACATAAGCCAAAATTTCCGCTCGATCTAGAAAGTTCACCGGGCAACGCGAAGGGCGTGGAATTTTGCGAGAAACAAGAATATGCGGCGTCCGAATTCATTCCGTTCCATGGGAGAGGGTTGCTGTCAAGAACCGGGCCAAGAAATGCAGATTGCGCGATTTGTAACGCCAGGTTCCAAATCCGTTGATAGATGCAGGCGAACGCAAAGGCTGCGACCCGGCCCGGGGGACAACATGCTACCGATATACTATGTACAAATCCTGTCCAAGCCACGAAAGCTGAAGCAAAACGTTTCCCAAAGTTCCGGTGCGGGATCAGAAGGTTGGGCTGAGGATGTTGAGCAGGGAGACTCTGGTGTTGATCAGCGCCCGGAACACCTTCTCGCCGCTGCCGTCGACGCTGGCGATGCACCGCTCCAGGTTGTCGTGGAGCTCGAATGCGGCCTTCCGCGCCCGCTCCTCCGGCTTCATCCGCGCCTCGGGCCGGAGCTGCACCGTAGAGGAAGTGGACGCGTCGTCGTCGTTGGTGATGCTCTGTTTCCCGGCCGACCGGCGCTTCGCGCGCGACATCCAGCGCACGAGGTCCGCCACCCACCATACGCGCTGGTGGCTGGTTCTTGGCGCGTCTGATGCGGATGCGGATGAGAATCTTGAGGGCGCGGTGATCCAGCACGGCGTGGAGGCGACCTCGACGCGGGCGACGGCGGCTGCGTTGGAGAGGGAGGAGACGCCGGAGAAGACGGCCGCGGAGGCGGACGCCACGGCGACGGTCGAGTCGGCGATCGCCGCGCCGAGGGCCGCGGTCTCGGGCTGGAGATCCTCGGGGAGCGGCGTGGGAGTCTTGGTGGCCACGGCGCGGGCGGCGGCCGCGAGGCGGGGGAGGTCGCGTCCGGCGCGGCGCTGCGCGCGAGCCGCGGACGCCAGCCGCCCGGGGTCGCCGCGGCGCAGCGCGGCGCGCGTCTCGGCCTGGAGCGCCGCGAGCGCGACGAGCGCCTGGCGGAAGCTGCCGTGCGCGTCGGCGAGGCGGAGGAAGTCGTCGAGCAGGCGCTCGGCGAGCGGGGACATGCCGAGGCGGCGCAGCGGCTCCTGCGCCTGCGGGTGGTGGAGCAGGTCCGAGAGCGAGGCCAGTACCCGGCCGATGTGCGAGGCGGCCGCGGAGACGGAGGACGCCGAGCAGGACGCGCCGAGCACGAGGCGCAGCGCGGCGACGTCGTCGTCGAGCTGTAGCACGAGCGGGTGGAAGCGGCAGGGGAGGCTGGCGGAGCGGACGCGGTAGGCCGCCGCGAGCTTGCCGTTGGCGGCGGCTGCCGCCTTCGGGGTAGGGAACGAGATGGTGCGCCGGTACCCGGCCATGGTGCCTGTGCTTCTTGCCGTGGCGAGCGACGTATCGGGGGCTCACGGGTTTTTAAAGGCCGGGGCTGGGGCCTGCGACTCGGAACGCGCGAGGAAGGCGTGCGTGCTGCGGTGGACCGGTGGTTTGCCGATGCCGCCGTGTGCTCGTGTCTTTTATACAGGTCGCCGAGGTCAGGCGAGCGCTGTGTGTGCAGGTGGACTCTGGGGGAGTTTGGACTCGCGGCTCAGTCAGGGTGGGACGTCGTGCGTTGGGCTTGCGCCACATTGACTGCCGCGTGCGTTGCAGCGGCAGGCACGTCGCCGTTACGTTTAAACGTCTTCGGGCTGGGGCACGGGGTTCGTCGGTGCGGGCTGCGGTGGATTTTGATTTCCGGCAAAACGCCCGGCGCGTTCCGTGATGGGCGGAGTGGCAGGCATTCGGCCACGGAGGGGGTGTGTGTAGCATGGCTCGTCCGTTTGTGGGCGGCATCGATCAGCAGGCAGCGGCACAGTCGATTCGGTGGGGGCGCGTCCGTCGTCCATGTATGTGGTACGGTGCTGCCCTGGCCGGTGCATGGCGACGAGGAGAGGGTCCCGAGAGCGTGAGGGGCCAGAATACTTTTTGTTTTAGCATCGAATTTTTGAGTTGTTGATGTTTTTTGACGTGGAATGCTTTGTTCTGAATTCTGATCATGGGGTAGAACTGATGTTTCTTTTTTTGAGTTGGTCGCGTGGGTGTGTACCCTTTTTGTGTGTGTGCGCACTGCAAGTATTTTTTTGAAAAAGGCCATCATGGTTAGCTTTATTAGATTAGAACACGTTTACATCGTCTACGAGCAAACTGACAATAAAGTCAGGAGGCTCGTTTAACCAAACAATCGAAGCCTTATTACAATAACTATAGTTTGCTATCACATGCGCTACTATGTTACAAGAACGAAGACAATGCTTAAACATGACATTTCCAATCATAGATCCTAAATCCACACACTCAGCGAATAAGGTTGCCGCTTCATCCAACCATCTTTCTGTCCATTGCAGTAATTGATGACTTGTAGTGAGTCCGACTCCGCATCAACTTGGTTCAAACCGAGTGAATTAGCAAACTCTAATCCATCCCTCATAGCCATTGCTTCAATAGTAATAACATTCGCTGCATGTGGGATGAATTTGCACCGAGCCGCAATAAAGTTCCCCCTGTCATCTCTAAGTACCGCAGATGTTGCACCTAGTCCTTCATCTGCAAAGAACGCTGCATCAACATTTAGTTTAGTACATCGCGGATCGGGTTTACTCCATTTTGTTTCAGGCAACTCTAGAGAATTGGATGAAGACATTTGAAAATCTCTAATGTGTCCAGTGCAAGTTAGTACATAATTCTTTTCTTTTCTTTCTTGGGATGCACAACACACTTTTTTCTCTCTCATAATATGCCTGCTGACTTTTGGATTTTTCGAGCAAAGCAGAAAGCATTTCTAATGGTTTCACCTGGTTTCAAAATAAAACAACATTTAGACCCCTAAGTCATAAATTTGTAAAATATCATCATGTCCTTTTCAAATCCGCGTCAACTTTGATTATTATGGTATATACTGAAACCATGACAAAATAGTTCAATACATACTGAAACCGAACAGTGTTTTAATATCACACTATTTACCCAAGTATCAATACGGTACAAATAGAAAAACTTATAAATCAAACAATGTAAACATACTGCACAAAGTCAAGACCTTCTTCTTCCTCTGAACGGCTGACATCTCTCTCTCTCTCTCTCTCTCTCTCTCTCTCTCTCTATCTCTATCTATCTATCTATCTATCTATCTATCTATCTATCTATCTCTCTCTCTCTCCCTCCGCGAAAATTGCTCGATCCACTCTCTACAGAGAATAGAGGCAGTCCTCCCTTGGTTCCATTAGAGAGGAAGCTCTCTCGGCGGCCCAAACCCCGACCTATCCATGGGGTAGAGGTGGGGCCGTGTGGAGGAGCTCCAGCGGGAGGAGGTTGGGAGGAGATGTGGCGGCCCTTTTTGCTGCAACCTAGTAGCAGGAGGCGGCGGTTGCTCGCACTACTAGGGAGAGGCCTAGTAGCGACGCGGGTTAAACTGTTAGTAGTAGCGCAGGTGCCACCGTGCTACTACCAATTCAGTTAGCAGTAATGCGGGGGCCACTGGTGCACCGCACTACTACCAATTTTGTTAGCCATAGCGTGGGTGTGGACCTAGCGCTACTGCTATCTCTGTGTAGTAGTAGCGTAGGCCTTGTGCTATTACTATTAAGTTAAAAGAAATTCTTCTGCGAATTATGAAGTATTTATACTTATACAGTCCAACATATACGTATAGCATTGAAACTATATGATACTCCCTTCGTTTTTATTCACTCTGCATATTAGATTTGAGCCAAGTCAAACTTCATAAAGCTTGACCAAGTTTATAGAAAAAAAATATGAACATTTAAAATAGCAAATCTATATGGTGTGAAAGTGTATTCAATAATGAATCTAATTGTATTGGTTTGTTATTGTATATATTAATATTTTTATCTATAAACTTTGTCAAAGTTTACAAACTTTGACCTTCACCAAAGCTAATATGCGGACTAAGTAAAAACGGAGGGACTATAACAATGTGTCATCATCGTCATCATAGTGATACAACAATGTCTCATCATCATCCAAATAGTGATACAAAGTATTACAAGTCTCGAATACAACTACATGATCACATACACATGTTTCATCATCGATCTAAACTATGATCACATACAACAGAAAAGCGATCACGATGAGTAAGAAAAATATTAAGAAGGAGTTCTTCACCCGTTTCTTCTTCCTCTCTCCCGCTAGCATGAACTTCAAGTAATTAGCTTCTGCTTGGCTTTTACTTTCAAACGGTTTGTGGCTGCTGCCTGAAGCGATCTACTTAGGGCTGACACTCTGACCACTCATCGTAGACTCGTGGAACCCCCCTTTGTACATGACATACCACTTCTTCGTCATCTATATCCCTAACACAAACACGTTTAAGAAAATTCATAGATAATATGCAACATAATACTTGAGCAACACCAAGAGAAAGAGTTAAAATGTTAGCAAATAGAAGCAACATAGTAAACATAACGAACTTAATCGTAAAGACTAGAGTGCTAGGCAAGTTTAGGAAGACTGTTTACATCACAAAGTTTTTTGGTACACAAATTCAATGTTTGTCATACACAAAGTACAAAACGAACATCATCATCGCCAATCACTTCTTACACGTTACCTTCGGCCTTTCCGGGAGAATATCACCTACCTTTGTGAAAGGCATGAGGTCCTAACCCTGTAGTTGTATGCGAGTGTCCATGTCATCCCATGTTTGTGGGCCGTGCGAAGAACATCCCATCCTATAGGAGGACATATTTTTAGATGATTGATGCAAGCGACCGCTGGATACGATAGAACTCAACTCTAACTTTATCATCGGGTTCATATGCTAACTTTGCGGCCCATTCAGGGAGATGGGAAACAACTCTAGTTGGCATGCAAAGTCTTTGTTGATGTATGACATTGGATAGGTTTGGTTTACATTTCAAGTAATTAAGGTTACTTTAGAGCATATATAGCCGGGCGCCTCAAAACCGCCTCATACGCCCGGGCTGGCTGCCCAGTCACTGTCCGGTCAATTTTTTTTGACATAGACAGACCCCTCAAACACCCGTGCTGACTGGCACCCCTCATATCTAGCTCAAACATGGGGTGGATATGGCGGGTGCCCCAGTGCGCCCGCCACCTCGGAGCCGACAGCCCGACCCAGCCCAAATTGCACCAAATCCACCCCCAAGACCAGCCGGATCCATTTGCTATCTCCTCTCTTCTTCCACAGTCATTCCTAGGCTATGCGTAGCCAGCTCCAGAAGAGCAGTCCTCTCTTCCATCCTCACCGCGGGGGACGTCGTCACCGACCCAGACGCCATGTGGTATGTCTGGCAACTCCCTGGCTCCGCCTTGCGCTTGATGTGTTCGACACATTGTCCGACCAGATTGTTTGTGGTTTTGTTAGGGAAAACGATGGATTGCGATGCTCCGTCAGACGAGGAGTATGGACCGACGGAGCTTGACCAATGATTCAAGATGAGTTCTTTCATTCATAGGATTCAGACAAAGAAGTGGGCATGATTATGCTCATGGTAATTTAAGAGGAAATGGACCGGCAAGTGGAGCATATTCTCAACTTTAAGGGCTCAATCAAAGGGAGAAGTGTGATCAACCGAGACAAGGTGTCCGGAGCAAAGCTACTACACAAGGACTACTTTGCTCCCAAACCTACTTTCTCGAATGATCCATAATTTTGTCGCTGTTTTCGCATGTGGAAACCATTGTTTTTGTGCATTGTGGAGGGAGTGGAGATACACGACGACTACTTCAAGCTCACAAGGGATTGTTGAGGCAAACTCTCTTTCTCGGCCAAGCAGAAGTGCACGACTGCTCTAAGGATGCTTGCACTTGGTACTGCTGCAGATGTCGTTGGTGAGATGGGCGGGATGGGGGAGAGCACGTGCTTGAAGACTACCGTCAAGTTTTCTCGCGCCATGATGGAGGTGTTTGGACCTGAGTATCTCAGAGAACCAAATGCGTAGGACACTGAGAAGTTGTTGGCTATTGGAGAGGCAAGGGGGTTTCCAGGAATGCTCGGATCAATTGATTGCACGCAATTGCAATGGAAGAAATGCCCCAAAGGTTTGCGGGGAATGTATCGAGGTCACACCAGAGAGGCCACCATCATACTAGAAGTGGTGGCATCACATGACTTATGGATTTGGCATGCTTTCTTTGGAATGTCGGGTTCTCACAACGACATCAATGTGCTTCAACGATCTCTAGTGCTCATAAGACTTTGCAATGGGGAATCACCACCGTGCAACTACACCGTCAACGGTCGAGAGTACAACATGGGATACTATCTTGCCGATGCATGGTATCTATCCTTAGTGGGCAGCATTTGTGAAGACCATATCTGAACCGCATGGAAATAAACACA